TTACACAGAGAGTGATTAAAATGTAAATTTGCTGCCCGAAAATATAGTGATAATGACCACAAGAATAAACAGCTTGCAATTCTTCAAAATGTGTTCTAGATGGTATATGACGATGTTGTGTTAGTATTATAAGTGTTGTGCTTTCATGATGCTGTATCTTTGTGAATGTGGAAGTGAATAAATAATAATAAAAATTAAAAAGGGGGGGTCTTATCAGTGGTTCCTGGCCATGGTGACTGAGGGGAATCTACATGTTCAGAGGCACTAAACCTCTGAATCCCAGAACCAGGAGGCAACATCAGGGGAAGGCCTCAGCCTCTATGCCCTGTTGTTGGTCCTCCATAGTAACTGGTTGGCCACTGTGAGACAGGATGCTGGACTAGATGGACCACTGGTCTCATCCAGCTGGGCTCTTCTTATGTTCTTATTCCTAGAGAGGAATAAGCTCCTCCTACCTTCCCCTTAGCCTCATGACACTTCCATTGTCTTGGCAATTGGCTTGATGGTCAGCAGCTGCCACCTGAGGAAGTTGCATCACCTGCTGCAGGGATGGGCCTGCTCCTCAGCCAACATGCAGTGACACAAGCCTTAGTGATTGACACAGACCCTGCTGCCTCCAGGATAAGGCTATGGCTCAGTGGTATAGTATCTGCTTTGTCTGCAGAAGTCCCAGGTTCAGTCCCCAGCGTCTGCGGTTAAAAGCATCAGGTCACTGGTGATCTGAAAGACCTGTATCTAAGCATCTGCAAAAGTGAGCTCTGACTCACAAAAGCTTGTGTTGGAATAAATGTTAGTCTTTAATGTGCCACTAGACTTCTTCTACAGTAGACTAACTGTAGCTCTCCCTAGGGACCTTCTGCCAGTCACAGGAGGGAGTACTGACCTTTATAGCCCAGGTATCTGACTTGATGGTATAAGGTAGATTCATATGTTCCGCTGTTTCTTTGGGGTAGAGTACCCCTCCCAAAGCATGGGGTGGTCAGCCTAACTTGCCATACTGAAGGAATAGCTCCATGTGAGAATAACCAGTCATAGAAATTCAGGTGGGTAGCTGTGTTGGTCTGAAGCAGCAGAGTGAAGTTTGAATCCAGTGGCACCTTTAAGACCAACAACATTTTAAGTTTATACCTTGAATAAAACTTTGTTGGTCTTAAAGGTGCCACTGGGCTCAGACTTTGTTCTGTCTATATAAAGTGTACATGACAAGCATGATTTTTGTGTCCTTATGTAAAAGGGTTTTGTAGCAATGCCTGACTTTTTCTAGTAAGAGCCACCGCCCTCCAATTGCTTTTACAGGTTTAAATCCATCCTCCTTACTTCTGAACACCAAGAGAGCACAGAAGAGTATGGATTAGGAACTGTGTGGGTCTAGTGTAGGAACTTGTTAGGTAAGTTAGATTTATCATTCC